GCTGAGCTAGCGAATCTTGTTGGAGACGATGGCCTAATAGGACTTCGGGATCCTGCAATCGATGAGAGTGTTGACGAGGGTCTTGAGTCGTGTGCAATACTCCTGGACAGAGGAGTGCCCTTGGAAGAGCCATGAAACTCCTCGAGTGCCTGGACACCCTGTTGATGCCGGTTGTCGTGGCAGAGAGTGTAGATCTCCTTGAAGAGGACGTAAGTGTTGGGGCGGTCAACACGGATGGTGCTAACGATGTCCTCCGAGATCATGTCGTATATCCAATGCACGATTCACTAGTCGAGTTGGGTGCTGGTGACGTCAAAGAGATGCTGTCGGGCTCGACGTAGCCGTCTGATGGTCGGCAAGGCCATAGGGTTGAACTCGGCATCGAAGAACGTCAACCAGAGAGTGAAGTTGGGTGGCAAGAGCTTGAGGGTGGCGGGGATTTGGGAGTGGATGTTAAGATTGAGGATGACAGAGAGAGGAACGGGCAACAGATCTGCGGTGAAGGGACCGGAGCCGCCGGTGGAAACGTCGGAGCATATGTCCATCGGAGGAGTGGAAACGTGAATCCGGGGATGGTTCTATAGAAAATTATACCATGTAGAACTAGAGGTGAAGAAAATATTTTTTTTGAAAAGGAGGATGATCCCCGACCTTTGCATCTGGGCGATGCATGCATCCATTTTATTAATTATTCGAAAAGACCTTACAAAGTAATACAATAGGAAGTCTGAAGCCACCATCTTGGCAACATCTGTCACTACTCCTATCCGTTTGATAAAGCAGTGCCGTAAGTCCAAGCCGAATACCAAACAGACTCACACCAAAGCCTAACATCTAAAGTCGGAGGCCCCAACCAATCCATTGCCCGTGTCTGGGGCACACATAGGTCCGGCACACTCACAGAGGCCATCGCCGCCTTCCGCTGATCCATCATCAGAGCAAGTACTAGTGCATTGACCTTGCCAGGCCTGCCTTCGACACCCCCACAGCGCCAGACTACGCCTCCTCCCTACGCGTCTTCATCATCACACATCTGTCGCCGAGACCCTACAACACCACGCCACCGAGACTCCACGACGTCGACGTGTCACATGAAGCGCTGCTCAACCGCTGAAATCGTCCACTGGTCCCTCGAGCCAATGGACACCTCCAAGGATGACGTCCCAAGGAGGGAACGACACAAGAGCGCCACCGTCATCCGATCGTATGATCTAGGGTTTCTCCCGAATATAGCGGAGGGAGTATGGAGCTTCTCCTTGGCGATGTCTTCAAGAAGTAAACGACACAAGAAGCACCGCTATCGCCAACTTTAGCAATAGCCGAAAGCAGGTTTTCATCTGGATCTGCTCCATGAATCTCCATCCACCAGCGTGTGCACCGGACGACCGACACCTTCACAGCCCCAAGCGCCTCCACGGCTTGGGCTGATGTGTTGGTCAACCCTGCCACGCCTCACCGGCGCAGCCTGGCCACCGTATCCCGTGAGGCTACCGGCCACCCCAAAGGAATGACTGAATTGTATTGATCCTCTGGTAGAGTCACTACAATATCTAAGCTCCCTTGAATTGAAGGGTTGTGAGCACTCCGGGGCTGGGAGGGTAAAGTGACCACGTCACTTAATTTTTCTAGAAAAATCACTTAGTTTTCCTAGGAGAACCACGATCTCTTACTAGGCAAGTAGGTATTATTATTTTTTAATATGGTACAACAGAAATCGCTCATATACACAATCATACACTCACTCTATGAATGCATGCACACCCTATCCATATGAGCTCCTCATAGTGACTGGGCCACTATATCATCTTTAGATTGACGAAGCCGCAATAGACGCCTTCTTAGTCGATGGGAACGTCTCCTCCCACCGAACGTACATCCCAAAAGCCTAGAATAAATCTAGGAAAATGCGAGCATCAATGACAAGTCTAGGACTTTAACTCTGGTGAGCTAGGGATACCAATGTCCTAGTAACCATCCAATAGTAGGTATTGTTTACTGTTTGGGATAAGCATCCAACTACGTGTGTCCAACACTTGAAGGGTTGTGTGTCGCTTAATCCTTGAACTAAAACCATGACATTTATTTTGGATCAAAGAGGCAACTTTTTTGCAAGAAAAAGGGTTACATGTCGCTCATGCACATCTGGTACGAGGGAAGTTAATATATCCACGCCTATCGAAGTGATGTATCATCGCACAGTGCACGGTTACCGCCAACTTGGCCCATCACCGCCTCCTCTACGTCACATGGATGCATGCACCGTAAGTCCATCACCATGCCTCATGGCTCGCCCATGTCTCCATATTTCTCCCTTCCCTCATTTCGTTATGCCTAAACCATCACCATCTCCTCCACACCACACGGTTACATAGGCACCCGGCCCATCACCTGCTCCTCTGTGTCATATGGTTGGACGGGTGCTACCAGTCCATCACCGCCTCCTCCACACAACACAGTTGCAAGGGCACCCCGCCCACACCGCCTCCTCCGCACCACGAGGATGCACGGGATTTGCATGTCCACCACCATGCCGCACACCCCGCCTATCGCCTGATATTTCTCCTGTTATTTTATGCGGTAATTAACGCCCAACGACGATGCTCAAGGCCTATAGGAGCAGGTGGCAAGGTAGGCCGCCACGGCTAGCGATGGTGTTGTACAAGGACATCTGTCATCTTCGGAACTTGGTCGCCTTCATCGACATGCCATGGTCCACAAGGTCTGCTGTACAAATCCGATACGTCCTTCCCCTTCCTCTGTCATCCTTTCTTTGGTAGCCTAATTCAAATTCAATCTCGCTCGCTTCGGGACTAAACAAGTAGGAGGTTATCTCACAGTGTAAGGTTTCAATCTAAAAGCCTTAGCCTCCACTGCTTGAGTACCATGTTCGTGCTTGTGGATTAACAACCTCAGGTAGTTTATACATGGCATGCTTTATGCTGCCTCTGTTCCACAATGCAATGCATATTAGTTTTTTTAAAAGTCAAAAGATGTCCATGTTTGACCAAGTTCTATTCAAACGATGGAAGGCTCAAAATCAATGAATGGAGCAAAGTGATGAATGCGCACACGCAACTAATTGGAGACAAAATGAATGTGCGCAAGCCACAAGTTGGAGATAGGTTTATGTCCATTCTCCGTTATGGAGATGGACCAGTTTATCTGTTTTATGGTATTTTACCTAGGAGAGAGGATTAGGTCGTAGGTATTAAGAACAACTAATTAGTGTTAATTTATATATGACTATGATGATGATGAGAAGTTTTATTATGTGCTACAATGTGTTGGAGTTGCTGATGATGATGAGGAGGAGTTGCTATTATGAGTACTATGATGAGGAGTTGTTATTATAACTAGTGACCAAGTTGTTATATGATGTCTCATGGACGAAAATGATGATGATGAGTTGTTATATGACAATGATGTATTATGATGATAAGTTGTTAAAGATATGATGATGATGATGATGATGATGATGATGATGATGATGATGATGATGATGATGAGTTATTACATCATTGGGCGAAAGAACCGCTGGTTAGTTTCAGGTGGATGGATCCAAAGTGATCAAGGATAGGCTTGACTATAAAAGTACGTGCGGATGTTTTTTTTAAATTTGGTCAAACATTGATAGGCTTGACTTTGCAAAACAAAGTATGCACTATATTTTAGAACAATGAGAGTATTAATTAGCATTTGTTTCCATGCCTAAGGAGCACAATCTATAACTAAACTTAATTGGCACTAAAATAATAAAACAAGATCATAACTAGGTTATTCTATGAAGATAATTTGGTTAAATTGTCACCGGGTTGCTTATGTACACAGTTGATCAGGCCTTATTAGTGCATCGATAATGTTGCATTCAAATGAAAGCTGAATCACTTGTACTATTATCTCTTGATCCTCCCATTTCCGTCTCTTCCTCTTAGAAGCCGCTATAAACATGCTTCATTCCCTTTCCTATCGTTAGTCTGTGCGAAGCATTGCTTTTATTTGAAATACGTTGTTTCTATTTTGATTCTGACTACACATGTGAATGATCAATATTGAAAATCAGAAGCCATATACTTTGGTGCAATGTTGCAACTTCCAAGATTTCTCACTCCCACTACCCTTTTATTGTTATTGCAGACCATTATTGTTGGTGTTTTGTATTATTTGTATCTGACCAAGGTAAGTTATGAAGTATCGGTTGGTCAAATCATAGAGTTGTATGATTGTTGTGGATGTATACTATAATCAGAAGCCTCAGTTATGCATATCATAATTTTTGAATTTGTTTTGCAGATGAATATTATCATGTCATTCAGTACTATATGGCTTAACTATGCAGGTCCGGGCCATGAGTGACGCCAACCACTACTTTGAATATATTTTTTGCAGTGCTGCTAACACACCAGTAACAAACAAATAAACGAATAGAAAAGTAGAACGACGTGGCAAGACGCGTGTATGCTTCTAGTAATATACATGGACAGGGTTTGCACAAGTGCCGGCCTAGCCAACCACCTCAGCTATACGTGCGGTAACAACTCCTATGCAGTAGCTAAACTGATCGTGCCGTAGGAGACCGCTTCCAACACTTTCTTCTCACAGAATCGGAATAGTCGAAACGAGGACAAACGATGGATCATGACCCGCAAAAGGAAAGAGAAAACGACGGATCATTACAGGAATGGAAACAGAATTGGTGCATCCTCTCCTAAATATGACCCAAAATTAGAGAGGACTAGTAAACCAGCATGCTAAAATTAGAAGCCGAGATCAGCTCTACTCATACAATTGCAGATGCAGATCAAGGAAATGATTGGGTTACTTTCTTGTGACAATTCATCCGGTGAACTAGAACCCAAATAGTCGAAACGACGATAAACGATCGATCATTACAGGAATGGAAACAGAATTGGTGCATGACTCATGCTACTTGTTGTATTTATTGGATCTATGCAAGTTCGACGGCGTACGGACGTGGCTACTAGCTAATTTTTTGAGTTTGTCTAGCCGAGGATGCAGGCCTTGAATGCGTCCATGTGCGCCGGGTCGATGGACACGGAGGCTTGCACCTCGCCGTCGCGCCGGCCGCCGACTAGCACCATCTCGCCGTCGTGGTTCATGGACACCAGCTCCACGCGCGCGGGCTTCCCGAACCCGAAGTCGGCCGCCTCGTAGGCCCGGAACCGAGGGCTCGCCGCCACGTTGGTCATCCGCTGAAACGGCAGCCGCATCAGCATCTGCATCCACCCCTTGTCCGTCCCGGACAGCGGCGCCGCCTCCATCTCGGCCACCGCCGCCTGCACGGCCCGCGCCGCGCGGAGGATGCCGGACTGGCCGAGGAGGTCCGCCGCGTCGGCGCAGCTCGCCAGGCACGCGCGCACGCAGTTGCCCAGGTAAGCCTCGCTGACTGGCGGGTCGAGGCGGGAGCGCAGGTCGGCGAGGAACATGAGGTACGTGTCGTCCCCTGCGCCGAGCCCCTTGGATCGAACGAACGCCGTCCAGCTCAGTGCCGCCAGCGCCACGAACGTCGACACCGGTTTCGGCTTGGGCGCGTCGCCACCGGTAGCAGACTCGTCCGAGGCGAGGTCGTCGATCCGCCGCCTGAGCGACTGGATGTCGTCGGCGCCGAGGTAGAATGTCCGGCGCGCCCGCAGGAACCGCTGGCTGAAATCGTACTGCCCCCTCACCTGCGAGTGGTAAATACACATGATGGATAAGCTCATTCATGGCAGGCATTGCTTCCTTGCCCACGACTATGCACGGTCATGGAACTGAAAATTGTTCCGTGTGTGTCATCTATCTTGGAGGTGGCAGGCATACGGTTAGCATGGTGCAACCGACGAACCAACTACAGTTTAGTTGACGTAGCAAGCAAAAGTTGACAAAGCTACCGACGTACACGGAGCTACAAGTAGCCCTACCTACATAGATTCACGAACATGGAAAAAAAAGAAGAAAAAAAGAGATGAGTTTACCACAGGGAGATTGGGCGCGACGGTCTTTAGCATGTCGCGGGCGAGCTCGTCGCCGTTGGGGTGCTGGATGACCTCCCGGCCGTAGTGCGGCGGGCCGAGGACCTTGGTGACCGGGGAGCCCTCGCGGGAAGCGGAAGACCAGGCCTCCATGAATCGCCAAACGGCGCGTCCGTCCGCGACTACGTGGTGCACGGACAGGCCCACCGCCAGGCCGCCGCTTAGACGAGTGGCCTGCACTGACAGCACGGGCGCCGGGAGCACCCGGGCATCCAGCTCCGGCACCAGGCTCAGGAATGCCAGGATGTCGTGCGCCTCGTCGCCGGCTAGACGCTGCACGTCCATATCGCCCTCGGCCTCCAGGAAGGCGACCCCGGCGTGAGTGCAGTCCACGAAGGCGTCCCCGGTCTCCACCGCGTACTCGAGCATCCCCGCCAGGGGCAGGTAGTGCGCCAGGGTGTCCGCGAGAGCGCGCTTGAGCCGCTCCACCACCGTCGGGAAGCCGTCGGCATCCCCAAGCTCGTACAGGAACACCCGCTGGATCGGCGGCAGCACGACCCACGGCGAATCGAAGAAGGAAAGTTCAACGCGCTGCACCTCCCCCAGCACCGAGGGCGCGACCCGGGAGACTGCGACAGCCCGCACGGCCGCAGCCTTGGCGGCGGCGTCGGAGCTTGCCTCGCCCATCCCGACGGGTACTTATCGGTCGTTCGCCGGAGAGCTAGGGTGGTGTGAGCTGACCGATGGCTGGGCGCTTATGGGGTTCCACTTCCAACTGCGTCCAGCTTAAATCGCGGCAGCGGTGGTGGACGTCTTCTTGCGCAGGAAGGAAGACGGAAGCTGCTGGGCCTACGATCAGTTTGGTCCGATATACTACATGTGCCAAGTGAGCAAGATATTTGGCCGATTCATACGGATGCCGCTATGTATGCTGCGTTGGTGGATGTACGTCTCGCTGGGGAGAAAGAAGCGCGCACGCGCGATACCAGAGCAGAACTGAAGTGAGATGCGTGTCTGGTTTCTGGTGTACGTACACACCCTCCTTTTTATACCTGGAGACATCCTGACATAACCACTCATTCAGCTCTGCTCATTGCTTATTTACTTTGGAAACTACCAGCTGGTTCATCGCCGGAGAGTACAAGGTTTGCTCCAAAGGGACAGCCAGTTTCTTTATTCATTTTCATTTCGGAGGATAAAAACGACAGCTAGCGTGGCTGAACCCTGCCCTGCGGCGGACAAATGTGTGTCTCTGTGCGCCTATGCTTGCATCTCGAAAAGATCCAACGACGTCGGAGATGGGTGACTGATGCGGTGCTTCCGTCAGGGATCACGTCAATCATGCAGACCCGACAGAGAATAGTCCAAAATTTTGCCTCCTGTAATACATGTTTTTGATAGGCTAGATGATTGCCGGTGAGTTGTAACGGGATCATATAAATTCTAATGATATGTGTAACATTTCTTTTATAGACATTTCTTTTATAGGACATAAATACAGTAAAGTTTTTTAACCGATAAATTACTGTTCTTCTTCTTCTTCTTTTTTACTTCGTGAGCTGACCGTCATTCTTGTTGTCAGTGCTGCCAGTGATGACATCGCCGTAATATCAACTAAACTCAACATGCTATATAACGCAATGGTTTTAGAAATAGATTGAGCAGTTCTTTTACAAGTACGAAAAACCCATTGTGTCTATTTAATACAAGACCGTGTGGACTCTTTATATAGAGCACACATTCTATGTACTAAATTAACTTGGAATAACCTGAAACTCATGATTAACAAAGAGGAAAATGTACTTCTTTCGCTAACAAAACATGGATTCCCTACCTTTGAAGAAACAAACAAATCGACCAAGCTAAGATCAAGACTCACATTCATCACACACAAAAAAGAGCAAGACTCGTATACAAAGAATAAATTGATGTGTTTTCACCCGTCGTGGACTTATTGTAGTAATGCCACACCTCATGCCTTGCCAGCTGGTAGCTGCATCCATAACAAAAATTGAAAAAGTTGTGTATTGTGCGCAAGACGGCTTGCTGCAACAAATGCGTGCATGCTTGTAGATGGTGTGCATGCACGGCGGTAGGCAGTGATGCAAAATAATCCGACCTTTCCTATCAAGTAGAATCAATTAGCTCTTTTTCAAGGATGCGTCAGGAATAACGTATCAAGATAATAGATAGAAAGTGCCTAGACGACAAAGATTTTTACAACTCAACCACGGCTAAGGAGCCACCCCACGAATCCTATATGTTCTACTCGCCACTAGCCAACCTATCCACCCTCATCGGTAAGGCGTTATCTTTCCTCAACAGAGCCGTTGCCCGCCAATTTTGTCCTTCTGTGTCAATTTTTTTCAGCACCATGTCCGCCAACGGTGCCGCACCATTGAAAACAATATCGTTCCTGCGCCTCCAGAGTGTCCATGCTACCAAAGCGATGAATGTCCATGTTTCTTTTGTCCCCTTTGTGGGTCTAGAGATGTCCACCAGTCCACCAGGTTACTGTCGTGTTGTGGCATGCAAGCCATCTCATGTCTACCAGTCCACCAGGTTTCTTTTCTCATGTCCCTTTGTGGAATCAATTAGCTCCTGTTTCTGAGTTAAGCATGAAGTATTGGAAATAAATAAAAATTAAATGTACATGATATGTTCTCCTAGCTAATGTAACATCTCAATTTTTAATTTGGATGTTATACATAGATCATTCATATGTGTTTCATATTTTATTGCATTTTGGTTTTTATTTGGTTGAGATCCAAGAAATCTTAAGCAACTCAAGGACCCAAGGAGAGAGTTGGGGGTTTCACAAATTTTTATTTTTGAATTTATCCAAATTTGAAAAGTGGATCAATTTGATTTTAACAAATTCCTTCCAATAATTTTAAAAACAATAAAAATAATGAGAGAAGATAAAAGGACTTCTTCAAAACAGAGGAGAAATGTTGGAAAAAAATTGGAGGTCAAATTATTTTATTTGAATTTTATTTGCAATTTATTGGGTTGAATTAGAGAAAAAGGTGCATTTTTAAAAATTTCATTTAGTCGAGAAAAATGTTCACTTTGTCCCAAATATTAGGTAGGGATGGTGAAAATTGTTTCTGGAATTTTTATTATTTTATTAGGATTTTTCCTCGCGGCACTGTTTAAAATAAAGTGCGCGCGCCGACTGGGCCGGCCCAGCCACCAACCGCCATCGTCCCCGTGCCCGCGCCAGACTCTGGCACGGAGTCCGAGCCGCCCCCGCCGCCGCGACCCCCTGCCCAAGTCGGGACCCCGACCATGGGGCCTTTATAAGCCGACCCCGCCGCCCCGTTTTCGCCACCAGTCGCCGCCGTCGTCACCCGCATCTAGCGCCGCCGCCGCCCACCGCCCTCGCCGCCGCTTGTGCCGCGACGCCGCCCGCGTTAGTCGCCGCTGCCGTCGCCAAGCCCCGCTGCCGCCTCGCCCCGCCGAAGCCGCGCCGCCTCATCGTTGACCGCCGCCGCCGACCGAAGACCGGTATAAAACCGCCCGGTTCGCCGGTTTAGTTTTGGTTTATTTTTATTAGTTCGGTTTAGTTAGATCAACCGGTTTATTTTTATTAGATCACTTAATTAGGGAGCGTTCACCCATTAGAATCCGTTAACGAACGTGTTCGTTCGTTAGTCTCTATTAGCGGACGTTCGTCCGATAGATTTTTCTTTTTCTATTTATTTTCGCTCAGGCACCTATCCGCAAATACTTTTATCGTGATTTAGCCCCTGATCTTTAAACTAGCATAACTTTTATCTCGTTTATCCAAATTAGATGAAACCAATGCCCAAATCTTCGTAACAATCCCCTCTTTCCAACTAACCAACTTGAACATGATTTTGACAATTTGAAATTTGAGTTTAGTTCAGATTAGTATTTGATTTTGTTTCGTTTGTATTTTTAGTTTCGTAGCTCCGTTTGAGTTGATTCTTTTTGTAAATCATAGCTAATCACATATACCTACTGTTAAGATCTAATCCACATGAAAGTAATGCTATTAGAGTTTGTTTTCTGTTTAGTTTAGCTTTTGCTTGTTTCGAGTTTTATTTGGATCTTTTCTCGTTTTCTCTTTCTTTCGTTTGATTGATTGCTTATGTATGCTGTTGTTTGTCTACGCTAGATTTTCCGGAGTGTGAAGCTTGTTACTATGAATCTCTAGAGTTTTCCGATCGTCAGCATGGCATGTTACACTTTGATCATACTCTTCTATACCCAGTTTTTACTTTGCATTAGTTTTGCCATCAAATATTTGCATGAGTAGCATTGGGAACATGTGGTTTGGTTGTAGTACTTGAGGTAGGAACCTAATACCTTTGATCACCCCGGTAATATACGTTATGCTCATTTATTGCTTAGCCATGCTCGTAGACAGGGATTGGATCATGATACACATGGAAGTTGTGAGAGATATTAATTTTGGATAACATTAAGTTGGCAACTTTAATACACATCTGGGTGGATTGGTTGGGGCACCTGGAGAAACTAGTGCTAGCCGTTTGGAAAATCCCGGAGTACCCGTGTGATTTTTTCTCGGTTCACCACCCAGGCTCAAAGGGATCATATGATATTTCATGCCTAGAAACTTCTGTGTGCGGCCACAAGCCATTATGGGCTCTAGCGTAGTTGAGTAAGTTGCATGAGCTCTTGTAGATGTGGACTAGCAGATGTAGGGGAAAGTAGGTGTATCGGTCTACCCAGAGTAGAGAGTAATGCTTCAGAAAGACTATGTCTCGATCTTCCGATCATGGATGCGGCCGAGTCTTGTGGGGAAAAGTGTGCAACCTCTGCAGAGTGTATAAACTAATCATGGCTAGCTGTGTCCCTGGTTATGGACATCTTGAGTATCTAGAAGTGGATATTATTTGTTATCTCGTCACTCTTTAATTATGAATTGGGTTAATGATGATGCTTGGTTAATTGTTGGGATTTGAGTTGGAGGAACCTTCTCAAATATTGGAATAACTTTGTAGTAAATAAAAATTTATTCCTTTGTTATAGGGAAAAAATAGCTTTATGCAAAACATTAAACTTAGAGCCTCCACCAGCCAAATATGCATGTAGATATAGTTTCTTACATTCATTGTTTTACAGTGTAACTCTGCCAGCATATTCAATGTGCAACCTACAGGCTGCAACGTCTCATGTTGCAGACTTCTCAGACGACGAATAAGGTGCAATAGGTCGTTGTCATGCACTCAGCTATGCCGTTAGAGTTGATGGACTCATTTACCTTCGGAGCTTCCATAGTTATTTAGTTTAGATGGCCTTCAACCATTTTATTTATGTATCAGATACTCTTTATGAGGACCTCGATGTAATAAGTGTGTGATTGAACTTTGCTATAATTCCTCGAGTACTATGTGTGTCAGCATTACCGATCTAGGGATGACACTTAAGCACAGAGACTTCGGTCCATTGGGATCATGGTCGCTACAAGATGGTATCAGAGCACACGCTGACTATAGGACGCAACCACTAGGACAAGCCACATGATTACTCTTCTTTGCTCATTTCTAATTCCCCTCTATATCTACTCTATAGATGGCAGATCTCAGGAATAATTTCACTCAGCCGGATGACGACACCCCTTTCGGACAACACTTGAAGGAAATCACTAAGTACCTGAACATCGGACTACCAAGCTTCACTGAAACTTTCTCTGC